ACAAGCTCTATTCTTTCACTGATGCATAATTTTGGACTGTTATCTAATGGATACCACGTAGCCAATACAACCATCTGTTCACATAGAAAAATAGCATAAAACTGAAAATGCACCTGTCCTACTGCTAGATACTGGCATTGCATTATCCATGGCATGGAGCCTGCCCAGAGCTGTCCAACCCAGATGAGTTAATAATCCAGCATATCCCTCTATCATGTTATGAAGCTGCACAATTCCTCCTCCAAAGGTCAGAGTCCAAGACACTTGAACTTCCAGAAATAAGATCAAGGAGGTGATACAGGTGCAGAGCCTACGTGACTCCACAGAGGCAGTTCCTTCCACCTGACTATTAGCAGGGGACAAATACTGAAAATCTCACTTACAACTGACGACTCTGAAATGGAGCATAGATAGGGGCTGAAAAAAAACTTCCTGCATGCAAAATCATCCTTAAGGGCATGTAAATGTGAAAATGTCTGCATATGATACTCCTTATGCCCTCTTGATAGCCCAAGTTCTAGCCCTGGTGGCAGTAACATTACAGTATGTATTTTTAAAGTAAAAAGAACATGAGAGCCTCATAGAAAGGGGTTGAGTGAGATATCTCCCTGGTAAATGCAGGGGTCAGAGAAACTACTGTCCCCACCCTTCACCAGCAGTCCCTTCTCACGCCTGGAAAAAAACAAAAACCACACACATACACAGCACAGCCTCCCTGTGATACTCCCCAAGCCCTCTAAATGAGGGTTTTGTGTGATTTTTATTGGTTAGGTATCCCTACTCCACTTTGCCTCTCTCTCCAGGCAGATGCCCCTTATGACAACAGTCAAAGTATGTGACCTGCAAAGTGTGGGAATGGAAGGGGATAACTTCATTTATATGAGATTTCCTGCCCCAAAGCTGTTCTACTGGGCCTTATTATGGAGTGGACTCAAAACAATTATCCATTTCCTCTCCATACCCAGCTAATCTATCTTCAGAATTGGTTGAGCTGTTGCAAAGCTAGTTTGTGGAGGAGCAAATACCAATGCAAACCCTCCCACCACATAATTATGGGTCAGAATTTGGCGCTCAGTGAATTCTGGTTGAAAAGCCTATAAAAAAATGTTATCACTTTGTTACCAAAGATAGAAACTTACAAGTGTGTAATTTTTTGTTTGTTTGCATCTGTATTCCCTTGGGAATGATATGTGGAGAAAGGCTGTCAAATTTGCATGTTAATTACTTTGTTATATAGTCATTAATATCCAGACTGGGAGGGGTATGGGTGGAGAGCTGCAGCTCATTGTTACATATCAAAAGAGATTTTGCAATTTACTTTGCATATCCTGCCTTTGTTTTTAATAGGTTGGAATGCACTCCCACAGGAAATACACTTCAATTGTGACCAGATTTCTTTCTTGTTTGAAAGAGGTTGTTAAAACTGATGGCTATTTAGCTGGGGAAGCATGGCTCATGCTGTAGTGGCCTTTCCATTTTTTTCAATATCTTAAAAAAATATCTATAGGCTGAATAAGTTGTGTGTCAACCTTTACCCTGATGCTTCATGGTAATGATACACTATGATAATAGCAAGGCCCAAATTATGTGGATTGTTATAACTCAGATAGTAACATTCAGTCAAGGAGAGATTCACCCCAGTGCAAAGGGCTGGTACAGGATCTATACACCACTTATGTCCTACTTCATCAGTGTTTTGAAGGCTTATGTGAGGCTGAGTGGTGCACCAGGGTGAATTCATTCTCAGACAACCCTGAGGATTTGCCCTGATTACAGTCTTCGGTAGCCCAAAGCATAAGGGGCCCAAAACTGAACTCACTGCAGTCTTACACTAAAGTAAATTTTTGTTTAAAAGAACCTAATGTTCAGTTCTGTTTTGAAAAGTGGCTCTCTTATTGTCTTCAGTGACTCCACAGCAAAGGCGGTCAGGTGGCTGGTAAAAACATGCTTTAACTACCAGCATCTGAATATCCTTCTTGTGCATTTTCATTTAAAAAAAAAAAAAGACTTATGAAGGCTAAAGTCTTCCCTCATTGGGACCATGTGCAACCCTCGTCTTAAGTGTATGCCCTCAGTCCTGGATCCACAAAGGACATAGGTGTCTAAGTCCCGGTTTTAGGTGTCACTTGTGATGCATCAGATTCCCCCTCACCTGCTGCTGACCCCTGTAGGCATCTAAAGTCAGTGTTGAAGATTTCCCGGTTAAAGTTCCGTAGGCTACTATGTTCCTGCTCTGGCCATGCACGCTACTGTCTCACTCTAGGTGTCCTGCCTAGCCCCAGCGTTTGTCTGCCTAAGTCACATGCGGGGCCCAATCTGGTAGGCATGCTTCACCTGACTCAATGTAAAGGGGGAGGACCTCCTTTATAACCTTTATGCCAGTGGTTAGGGTTCTCATCCTTTCTCCGGACCAATTAATATTTCATTATTCCATTAAAGTGGATCAACTTCAGTAGGAGAGAATGAGGGATCAGACCCACATCAGTATACTCCATAGCCTAGTGGCTAGAGCATTCCCAAGGAGACTTGAACTGCTGGCCAGGTGAGTATGCTAACCACAGAGCTAAAGGTTAAAAGGGAGACCCACCTTCCCTGCTGTGTGGTATTAGGTGGTCTCTGAGCACACCTACTGGATTGGGCCCCAAGTGGGAATTAGGCAGAGGAACACCTGTCTTCCCCCAGTTCATGGATCACTAGCAGAGACCAGCACCTCCCTGCAGCCCAGACTCTGCACCTAAGTTTTCAGGGTAAAATTTCCGTAGGTGCCTATGTTTCTGCCTCTGAGCATGTGCACTACTGCCTCCCTCTAGGTGCCCAGATGCAGGTTCCCCCCTGCTCCCCCTAAGCTCCAGAGTGAATCACAAACTGGGGTAAGAAAGGCATTTGGCTGTCTAAATCACGTGCAGGGCCTGATCTGTTAGGTGTGCTCAGAGGCCACCTACCAGATTGGATCGCATTAAAAATCCAGCTGGAGGAGGTGGTTGTCTACTTTATAATTTTTAACTCAGTGGCTAGAGCATTTTCTTGGGATGTGGGAAATCCAGGTTCAGTTTCTTCCCCAACCCACCCCCGTCAGAGGAGGAGAAAGAATTTGAACAGGGGTCTCCCATCTCTCGGGGGGGTGGGGGGGTGGGGGGGGCTTTAATCCTTGAATTTAGGATATTTTGTTATGGGGCTCCCTCAGTCTCTCCTGTTGAAGTTGTTCCACTGTGGTTAAATAATGAAAGCTCAACTGGAGCAGAGAGACTGGACCCAAGTCTACCACCTCCCTATACTGCTAGCCTATAGAGTCTCTCTCTCTCTCTCTCTCTCTCTGGCCCAATGACACATTAAGTATTTATCCACAATGGAACAGTCATTGGGCCAGAGAGAGAGAGGGGTGGGATGCCCCAGGTCCAGTTCCCCTGCGCCAATCACGCTTTCATTATTTAATCCGCATTAGAAGAGCGTCAGCAGGAGAGAACAAGGAGCTCCACATCAGAATATCCCATGGCTCAGTGGTTAGAGCACCCAGAGAGAGGCAGACCCCTGTTTAAATCCTTTCTCCCCTTGGGGAGGAGGCGGCACCTGGGGCTCCCAAATGAATGCTCTAACCATTGGGCTAAACGCACCAGCTCCTGCTGCCACTGTTTTGTGTGGAGCGAGGCAGGCACCTAACGCATTCCCACAAGAAATGCCTTAGGTGCCTACGGCTGCCTGACTTCAGGTGGTGGGTTTCTGTTCATGAATCACCAGCAGACCTATGCATCTGCCTGAATCCCAGGTTTAGGTACACCCTTCTTATCAGCATCTCCCATGGATTGCTTAGACAACTCTCGGTCCAATATGCTGGCCTTTAAGGATAGCTTTCTTAGGTGCCAGTTTCTTCCCATTCAGTGTAAGAGAGCCTAGACACCAACTCATCTTTGTGGATTGCAATGTTCTTCCTGTGATTTTTTTTTTAAGCACCTAAAAGTTAGGCGCTGTGACACTCAGCAATGCAACGCCCAAGTTCCTTAGTGGATCCCACCCAAACAGCCTTGAGTCATACTAAATTCAGAGGACAAAATCATGAGGCATGTAAGCCACTGTCTGACTCATCTGTTCAACTCTTCAGACTTTCCTTCCCATGGAGCCTGAAATCAATTCATTCTTAAAAATGTCTTGAATGTGTATAATAGATGCTATAAAGTTATGGTAAAGTTAAAAGTAAGATATTAAATTGTTTAAACAAAATATTGAGATTTTCAGGAGAAATTGATTTCCCAAATCAGATAAGATTAGAAATGATATGATTAGAAGTGCTTTTTGTGACAGTTCACATTTTCAGTAAAAAAACAGCTTATATTTCTTGCTGTGTTAGAAACCCTGAGACATCGCCATTGAAGAAAGGATGGTTGTGTGAAAAATGTGATGGATTAGGACTGAGTACATCTGGGCTCAATTCCCAGCTCTGCCACAGAGCTCTCTATGATCTCAGTCCCCCATCTGTTAAATGGGGCTAATAATGCTGCTTTTCTCTCATTCTTTGTCTGTCTTGTCTGTTTAGATTGTAAGGTTTCAAGGCAGGAATTGTCTCCTACTTTGTGTATGTACTGCACCTAGAACAACTGGGGTCATGAGCTTGACTGGGGCTGCCAAGTGCCCCTATAATACATACAATAAATTATAATTGTCCAAAGTGAGTGAAATGAAGACAAATGATAAAGATCATAAATCTAGGTATATGTGTGGTAGGAAGAAGTGCTGCTGTTTTGATCTATTTCTATTCTGTATCCCCTATATTCTTCTGGTTTTTAATATATGTCAAGGACTCTCAGAGCTCTGGATGGGGACCCTTTGGTGTGGGGTTTGTGTAAGGAAGGCTGACATCTGAAATAAAAATGTTATATTATTTTGTGGAAAGTAAAATTTATTTTTTCAAAATCTGATTATCGTAATCTGAGGAATTGGAATTAACAAGATGAAGAAATAGTTTAAGTATAGTACCAGTATTAATGCTTTCTTTACTCTACCAACAGGTATCACTGTGGATAAGTATGGATTCATTTACTTTGTTGATGGTACCATGATTCGGAAGATTGATGCAAGTGGTGTGATCACAACAGTAATAGGTTCAAATGGTCTTACATCAACGCAGCCACTGAGCTGTGACTCCGGAATGGACATCACTCAGGTAAACACAACTGATTTTCATGCATTGTTACCGTTCAACACATTGTGAAAGTGGGTATCTATGTACGGATGCCCAGTTAATCGGTTAACACTGGGTGGCACAAGATTTCAGACATGTTTTTAGAGCAGTAGTGATATTTGATAGTGTATAAAGCTTACATTTAAATCATTACTATAAATCTAAGATATCTAATATAAATAGAAAAAGTATGCATGTGACTTTACCGAGTGGCCCATGTATGTATTATGTGTATGTACAGGTGCTTATACTAATAATATATACATGTCTACACTGATTGCTTTAAAAAGTTACAAGCTACTTTTAGGTGTGTCCTTTAAAAGCAGGTGATATTAGTATCTGTATAGAAGGTTTGAGAACCTTCCTTTAGCCCAGCTTTCTGACACGGATGTGCTTGCATCACTTAACAGAGAAGAAAAATGATATATTGTTGCTGTCCAGGTCTCTGCTGTGGAGCACTATGGATGGTTGCTGGAAGAACTAACAAAGTAGCAGCTAAAGGATACAGAAGCTACAGCTTTTCAATACATTTTTAAAGTGCTTTTCAATTCTTAATTCAAAGACAACGTAACAGAAATTGAACAAAAAGGCACTTTCCCCATCTGGTTTATATTAAAAACCAGACAGACATTTATACACAAAACAGCCAGCCTTTCAAAGTTAATGGGTAGCAACTCTAAAAGGCAGATGGTGTAGGCCAGGTTCTGCTTATTCAATGCTGGCTCCAAAATAAAGTAAAATTTGTCTGCTTCAAACAACTAACGGGAGTCAAGGACTCAAAACAGTTACATTATGGTATGTGTGAGATTATACCTAGAGCCAAATGGGTTGGTTTTGGTTTTTATTTTTTCCTGTGTATTTTAATATTTTGCCATCGGAAACCACAACTGATACATAGAGAACTCATCTGGTCTGAGCTGTGCCTAATTTCAATCAAGGATTTTAATGGTAGCAGTTTACCGGGAGGGCCTGATGCTGCATTGCTTGAACTCAAGGGAGATTCAGGCACACAAGGAATAATGTCCTTGTTTGTATATAACAAGCTTTACTGTGAAACCACAATGGTGGTCATGGGCCAGATTCAGCCTTATGGGGGGAAAACCTGCATAGAGTGGGAAACTCAGACATCCAAATCAGAGTTCCATTCCTGTCCTGTCAGAGAGAAGACTTTGTTCTTGTCTCCCACAGAAAGTGCAGGGGTTCATATTGCCAAACTAGTGGATGTCCTGGGATACATGTGGACTTCATGTAATCTCTGATGACCCATGCCTTCCCCACAGCTGCCTATGCCCCTAGTCATGAAGCTATTATCTGCCATCTCCATGGCTACACAGTAGCAGTCAAGAATGAGACCTTGGGGGAGTTAATAATGCATGGAGCATATTTTAACTACTTCTTGGATATACATATAACAACTGCCTGCAGTGTATGTGTAGCACGAGCTACCAAATCAGATATCTCTAAGGTCTGTAGGGAATCACATCATGCGGAACATTTGCTCCCTGGCTGCCTCGTTTCCTGGCTCTGGGTCTGCATGGAGTCCTACTCCATGGAGCTCAGGCAGAGGGAACATCTACAGTATCATGGGTAAGGAAAAGCATACCACTGAGCTATTCAATGTCGTTTCCCCCCCTGCCATTCTGACAGGTTTAGCTCCTTTTCATTTGTGAAAGAAGTAACGAAAATGAGTTCTGGTGAATAAATCCAGCTGGTTCATTCCTGGAAATGGTTTTCACTGCATGTTTATGGTCACATAGTGGTGCAAAAGCTACAACAAACTGAGTCATCTAGATGTATCCTTACTGCATAGACTAGGATAATTTTGAGATGAATCCAGAATGCATGCCAATAAATATTCAAGATATTGGTATTAAATGATAGCTTTATAAAGGATACCTAAAAGTATTTTTTAAAAGCTATCCAAAGGATTTAATTCCTTTTTTAAAAATCAAAATGAGGTATTAAATCCATCCTGCATACGTTTTGTAAATGATGTCATCTCACCCTTCATATATTGAATCTTTCCAGATACAAGCCCTGGAATTTGTATCTGCAATTTATAGAAGCATCTCTTGCTTTTTATTATTATCTCATTGATTTTCTCAAGGTACATAGCAAAATAGTCCCTAAGTAAATGCCCCAGATTAAATGTCCTGTGGAATTATTGAACCAAATTCTGCTTTCAGTCATGCTGGTGTAAATCAGCATGTCAATTAAATTACTCTTGAATTAAGTTGATGACAATTAATTTATTCTTGAATTACATGCCTGTAAATAAGAGAATAATTTAATCTTTTTTGGTCAAAATCTGCTCTCTGTTATACCCTTATATCACCATTGACTGTTATGAGGTGACATAGATGTAACTGAAACCAGAATTTGCCTCATCGCTACATTAAATTGTATTTGGCTAAGTCTCAAATAGCATTTACATCAGGAATATGTGGTTTATTCACAAATTATGTGTTTAGAGGAACTTGTGAAATAGGTTAATAAAATCAACTCTAAAAACTTAATTTGCTCTGACAATAAAATGAATGACTTGTTCAAAATCAATATTTTTTATTTACTGAAATACAAAAGTACTTTTGGAGTAAGCACACAGTACAATTGCCCATTGCAAATACTGATATAAATAAATAGAGCTTTCACTTTAATAGGTGAGTTGATTATGAAAGGGTTTAGTCACACATTTCAATACCAGTTTTGACCAGAAATATGTCTTAGAAATCACTAAGCACATGTCACTTACTTCCATCTCAGACTTGACTAAGGCATTGTTATTCCAGGTTTGTAAGGAAAAGGAGATTGGGTTGAGGTAGCTGCACGGTAAAGTGATGAATTTGCTCCTCTTTTACCTGTACAGAACATAGCTGAACTCTGTTTTGGTCACAACACAAGTCAAATGAATTTAGGGTTTTCAGCCAGATTTTCAAAAAAAGTTCATGGCCAGATATTCAAGTACTCAGCACCTGCATTTGAAGATAGAGTTTCAAAAGCACTCAATTCCCTTTTAGATACCAAATAAGGGCCAGATTCTCAAAAGGACTCAGCACCCATCAGTTCTCTTTGAGACACTAGTGGCCAGATTTTCAAGAGCTCAATGTGCTAGGTTATTTTTAAAATCTGGACAGTTGTTTTGGTGCATAAATGAGAGCTGAGCTCTTCTGAAAATCTGGCCCCAAATGTGGGTTCTGAGCATTGTTGAAAATCTGGCTGTAATTATCACTTGACTAATTGACCAAACTGGCAGGAAAAAATGGCACAATTAATTAACTCTACTTATGAGAAGCCGATTTCTGAAGCATCACAATTCTTACTAATTACAATTGAAATGAATCAGAAGAGCTGTTGGGGAAGTTTAATAGGATCTGATTCTACTCTCACTTGCACCTGTTTTACACTGCTATAGTTCAGTGGAGTTTCTTTGGATTTACAACTGTAAATGAGAGGTGAATCAGGCCCTACATTATGTTTGGTTCTAGCAAATGTTAACAGTATTTAACTCTGTAGTGAGCTAAAATTCACATGTAAAAGAGAAAAAATCTAGAACAGTGATATAAGCCTTCTTTCTGTCTTCACTGCTGTGGAGAAAGCTGAAGAGGGAATGTTGATAGAAATGTCCACTTTCTAATCCATCATGTACCTTCTTCCCATGATAACTATGTGGCCTGATTCTTTACTGCCATGCACTTTGTTTAGTCATTTCCCCTGTGTAAAGTGTAAAATGCTATAGGTCTGTATTTGATAGCATTCTATACCCAATCGGGACTCAGTCCATACAAATACAAATAACTGCAAAGTGCCAGGCAGTGGAGAATCAAGCCCAAGATCTTTTCCTTAGCCTGTAAATCGTGGCCTTGTCCCTTCACTAATGTCAATTCCACTGGTGATGACTCTTTGCCAAAGCGATAGCTGCTGACTGATTGATAGTGTTCGTAACTGTCACCACTGTGTTCTAAAATGAAAGTTCTTATTTGACGATTTTCTGACTTGAAACTTGCACTTCATCAACCTTTCTTCAGCAGTTCTCCACTTGATGGATTCCATGTATATTCTGTTGCTTCACCTAAAATTCAAAGCAACACTGCAAAATATTTTGTTCCTTCACAAAAATGTGACAAGATTTACTTATGGTGACAGTGTGTTCATACAGGTCAAGTTAAGGGATACGTGTAAGAATGATGAGAAAGAGGGAAAAGCCCAAGATATGGAGACATTTTTGAGAGCATTCCAAGCACTAGACACCCCTCTTTTAATTAATTGTAAATTGCCAGAGGGAACTTTACTGATAATGTGCTGAAGGTGAGAGAGAGAATGCTGCAAAGTGAGAGTAAAGCTGAGTGGACTGATTTAAAACATGACTTAAGATGTCACAAATGCAAACACTGACAAATCTCTTGCAGTCAGAAGGACGGCAGGCAATACCACCAACAATGTCTGGAGAGGGACAATTTGATGAAATACATGCTTGAAGACCTATTGAATGGAACAGAAAGCTTAGAGAATGCTCTGACCTCCCTTGAAGGAAAATGTGAGAACCTGTTTTCCAAAATAAACAAAGCAGATAAATACATGACTTCTGCCGACGTGCACTTAGATGCAATAGAAGATTATGCGGAAGACAGAAAAAAGAGCCAATGAATATGAGACGCATATACACATAGCTGCCAATATAAAAATTAATTTGATTCTAGAATGAAGCACTTTTGAACAATGTTGAGCGTGGAACATAAGAAAGGGGTTGCAGGATCACATTCATTTCTTTGAGCGGAATAATAGATCTATTTGCGGACTGAAAGAAGACGCAATATCTCCTGAGAAGTTTCACTACATTTGTGCTATTGGTGAAGCTAAAACCCTTTTACTTAAATTCAGTGGAACCACTTTGACTGCTCAGCTGAGCATCTTCCCTATGATGTGTTTAGACATTTTCATTCTTGTATTAACTAACAAAGTTAAGCCACTTGTACCTTGGAAAT